TCCTGCTCCTCCTCCTCCTCCTCCTCCTCCTCCTCCTCCTTTCCTCCTCCTCCTCCTCCTCCTCCTCCTCGTGTCTTGCCTTGGAGAGTTGTCCCCACGTTACCTCAGGCAAGCATGGCTGCGGACCATGACGCTTGATTGGCTGGCTGTAAGCACGCGCGCTCGGACGCCGAGCTCTGCGCGGGCTGCAAAGGGCTTGTAGCTGCTAATGAAAAGGCCTTGTGATTGGTTCCTGATCGAATTTGCTATTATGCTGGGCCTGTTCCACTTGCCCTGAGCCACCTCCCCAACAGCTATGCAATAGATGTGGCGAAAGTGAACGGCCACTTGAATGCTGGTAGCTTTGAACGCGTCTCGAGCGACTGGTACAAACGCTGAAGGCAAGCACTGGGCTGATGTCCCAGCGAAGGCGGCGGCACTGACCCGTTGCAGACCCTCGGAACATGAGTTGTCCGAGTTTGGCCTTGTGACCAACAGCTTAAATATGGTTCGTTTCTTTGTAGCAGGGCGCTTTTGCTATAATCCCAGCGTGCGCCAGCCAGGCCCAGCCAGAGCCTGAGTAGGGCAGGGGCTCCCCGTGCTGCCAGCGCCAGTGCCACTGCTGGCGCCGCTGGCGCCACCGCCAGACGCAAGGCTAATGCTGGAGGCAGTGCCGCCTCCGCCAGCGCCACAGCCGAGGTGCTGGGCGTGGCTGGCTTGGGAGTTGAAGTTCCCTCCACCGCCCCTCGGTGTGCTCCTCCTCCGCCTCCTCCTCCTCCCCCTCCTCCTCATTCTATCTGGGAGGACTATTGGTCACGCCCCTTGTCTGCTGAGGTGAGGGGCCATCAATTCAGATGGGTTCGCGGCAAACCGGCTTGCCGCAAGTGCTTGATTCGTGTTCGCTCCGACACGCCCGAGCCTGCCGTGGACTGCTTCGATTTCAATCCCGTGGTCAGCGCGCTGGTGCAGGAGACCCAGGGCCACCGCATTCATGTCACAAGCACTCCTGATGGAGTGACGCTGCTCTGCTGTATGGACTGTGGTAGTGTTAGCGAAGGCGTGAGAATTTGGGGGAATGGGAAAGGCCTGCAAAGGCGGGTCGTCCTCGGGCCACCTGAGGAGCAACATGAGCAGCATCTGCAGAGGCATCCATCCCAACCATATGAGAGGGGATGTGCCGCTCGACGAGCTGGTGCACCCGGCTGGTTTGACCAGTGCAGTTGACTGTGGTGGTTCCTTGGTTTCGACTGGTGGTGTGGAGGGTTAGTCTCTGGGGAGCCCTTCCCTCTGGGTTGGGCTCTCTGGAGGCTGTCCCTCTACGCTGTTGGTCCTAGCCTCTGCGATGCGACGTGTCAAATCAAATCCTCCTCCCCCTCCTCCTTCTTCTTACCCCCCCTTCCTCCTCCTCCTCCTCCTCCTCCTCCTCCTCCTCCTCCTCCTCTTCTCCTCTTTTTATATCCTCTTTTGGGTCCTCGTGGATGTGGCTCCTCCTCGGCATCGTCGTCGTCGTCGTCCTCCCTTCTTGTCTGCTCCTCCTCTCGATTCCGCTCCTGCTCTCGTTTCCGCTCCTCCTGTGGGTCCTCCTGTGTGTGTGGCTCCTCTCGGTCAACGTTGTCGGAGCCGTTGTCAAACGCCTCCTCCCGTGTTTGGGCCATCTCGGTCTTCGTCGTCTCCGCCGCCGCCGCCGCCGCCGCCACTGTCGTCGTCGTCGTCGTCGTGAACGTCGTCGTCGTCGTCGTCGTCGTTGTACGACTGCGCCTCCCTCTCCTCCCCTACTTTTTGACCTGCTGTGTGGCTCCTCTCGGTCGTCGTCGTCCTCCTCCACCTACGTAATCCTCATCCTCCTCCGCCTATTCTTCCTCTCTTCTTCCCTCTCCTCCTTTAGGCCCTCCTGCATGTGACTCGTCGTCGTCGTCGTCGTCGTCGTCATCCGCCTCCTGCTCCTCTTCCCCCTCCTTCTCCTCCTCCTTCTCCTCTTCCCCCTCCCCCTCCCCGTCCTCCTCCTCCTCCTCCTGCTCCTCCTCCTCCTCCTCGTCGTCGTCCTCCTCCTCCTCCCCCTCCAACTCGTCCTCCTCCTCCTCCTTCTCCTCCTCGTCCTCCTCATCTCCTAGTCTCCTCTCCTCCTTCGGGTCAGTATGTGGCGCATCTCGGTTATCGTTGCCGTTGTCGTTGTCATACGAATCCTCTCCTCCTCCTCATCCTCCTCCTCCTCCTCCTTCTCCTCGCCCCATCTCCCCTCCTCGTTTGGGTCATCTTACATGTGGGCCCTCTCGATCCCGGTCGTCGCCGCCGCCGCCGTCGTGCTCATACGACTACCCCTCCCCCTCCCCCTTCTCCGCTCCTTCTTGTGGATCTGCTGTTTCTCTGTGTGTGTGTTTATGTGTGTGTCTGCGGGGCCCCTCATCGGCCTTCGTCGCTGTCATTGTCATCATTCGCATGATGTTTCTTATCCTGCTCCTCCTCCTCCTCCTCCTCCTCATCCTCCCTCCTCCTGTTGGTGCTCCTGTGTGGCCCGTCTCGGTCCTCGTCGTCGCCATCGTTGTCAGACTCCTCCTCCTCCTCCTGTTCCCCCTCTCCTCCTTGTCCGCACCCTCCTCCTCTTCTCTTCTCCTCATGTGGGCTCTCCTGCATGTGGATCCTCTCGATTCTCGTCGTCGTTGTCGCCGTCGTTACCATACGACTCCTCCTCCTCCTCCTCCTCCTCCTCCTCCTCCTCCTCCTCCTCCTCTCCTCCTCCTCCTCCTCCTCCTCCTCCTCCGCCGCCTCTGTCTCCTTGTCCTCCGCCTCCTCCTACTCTCCTCTTCTCCTCTCCTCCTTTGGCTCCTCGTGCCTGTGCTTCCTCTCGGTCGTCGTCGTTGTCGCTGCCATCGTGATCGCAGTCGTGGTCGTCGTAGATGCGTTTCCTTCCCCCTCACCATCTCCTCTTCCCCGGTCCCCATCGCAGTATTCCTGTATGTGGCTCCGCTCGGTCTTCGCCGTCGCCTTTGCCATGCGCCTCCGCCCCCCTGCCTTTCCTCCCCCTCCTCCTCATCTCCTCGGCGCAACTCCTTCTTTATGTCCTCCTGTTTGTGACTCCTCCTTGACGTGGGGCCCCTCCTCCTGCCTTCCCCCCTCTGTCCATTAAAGCTGTGCGCGGCCCGCTTAGCTTCGACAGGAAGAGGCTCGCTCTCGACCCGCGGATCAACAAAAAACTGTTTGTGACTCCTCTCGGTCCTCGTCGTCTCCGCCGCCGCCGCCGCCGCCGCCGCCGCCGCCGCCGCCGCCGCCGCCGCCGCCGTCGTCGTCGTCGTCGTCGTCGTCGTCGTCGTCGTCGTCGTCGTCGTCGTCGTCGTCGTCGTCGTCGTCGTCGTCGTGGTCGTCGTCGTCGTGTCATCCGCCTTCTCCTCCCTCCTCCCTCCTCCTCCTCCTCCTCCTCCTCCTCCTCCCTCCTCCTCCTCCTCCTCCTCCTCCTCCTCCTCCTCCTCCTCCTCCTCCTCCTCCTCCTCCTCCTCCTCCTCCTCCTCCTCCTCCTCCTCCTCCTCCTCCTCCTCCTCCTCCTCCTCCTCCTCCTCCTCCCTCCTCCTCCTCCTGCTCCTCCTTCTCCTCGTCGGCAGCGGGGGCCAAGAAGTGTGAGGGTGGCTGGGCGGGTGCGGGGGGGGAGACGAGCTCTGAGAGGGACCGCGAGCGCCGCGGGAAAGCGCGGGGGGGGCTGGAATCGGGGAGGAGAGGGCGGCCGGACACGGGGGGGACGAGGACACGGATAGTGAGAAGGAGGACAGGGCAGCTGAGGAGCAGGATCTCAGGGAAGCTGACGAGGAGAATGAGGACAGGGAAGCCTCAGGAAAACGCGGGGGGGGTGGAATTGGGGAGGAGGAGGCGGCCGGACACGGGGGGGGCGAGGACACGGAGAGTGAGAATGGGGACAGGGCAGCCGAGGAACGGGATCTCGTCGGTTTGGGCCACCCCACCATGAAGGCTCCGCGGAACACCTTTCAGGTCTGGTTGGGAAGGGGGCTGGAATTGGGGAGGAGAGGGCGGCTGGACACGGGGGGGCGAGGACACAGAGAGTGGGAAGGAGGACGGAGAAGCCGAGGAACAGGATCTCGTCGAGTTGGGCCACCCCACCATGAAGGCTCCGCGGAGCACCTTTCAGGTCTGGTTGGAAGGGGGGCTACTGCGAAGATGGCATGGCCTGGGGGCGAGGAGGGGGGAGGGAGACCGAAGAAGGAGTGGGAAACAATTTCTTATTACTCTTCGTCCTCCTCATCGTCTTAATGTTCCTCATCCTCGCCTCATTTTCGCAACTGGCCCTCCAAGTACTCAATTTCCTAGCCCTTGGAATGAGGCGAGTGCGTTCTGGATGGAAGGCCACCTCCGACTGATTGCGCGTTTCGAAGTTCATCGGGGAGCACAACGCGATCCCTGCCGTCCCTTCCCTGCTCCTCCTCCTACTCCTCCTCCTCCTCCTTGTCCTCTTCTCTCCTCCTCGTCCTTAAGGGTGCTATTGAGAGTCCCTGGCGGGGGACTGGGAAGAGGATGGAAATGAGGAAGAGGAGAAATGGCGGAGATGGAGGAGGGAGAAGGATAAGGGTAATGATTACATGACTGTCCACGAATTTTTGCGAATTCGGCTCAGTCGCTTTTGTAGCGGCGATGGTGGAGCTTCTTCTAGACTCGTATAAACAGGTGGCGGTGTCCGCTGAGAACACCATTTGCAGTTGAAGATGTTCAGATCGAACTGAATGGGCTTTCCTGGGCAAGAAGTAATGGAGGAAGGGCGCTGGCGGATGCTTTCCGGTCCGAGCTGACAAACTTTTAGGTCCAAGTGAACGTGCTGACGTGCCTCCCCGTGAATGAAATAATGCACTCTGGTGACGTTTCCCGATTTCTACGCCGCTTGGCGAGTATAACCAGGTGAAAGGTCCAATACATGTAGCCCCGAGGCGATTGTGCCTGATGAAACAGAAGTTTGGCGAATGGCCCAGTCCTATGCATCTGCGAGTGACGCAGGATATAGCCCTCTACTCAAACGTAGCACGCCGCGAGAGGGATGGGGCCATGAAGCGTGTGAAGATCGTACTGAAACTGGAATGGCGGCGGCATGCAGACTTTGCATCTGGGACCTTAGGTGGAGGTGGCAGGCGAGGATGAGGAGGACGAGGAGGAGGGGGAGGACGAAGAGGAAGAGGAGATGGAGGAGGAGGACGAGGAGCAGGGGGCAGATGATGGAGAAGAGAACGCGAACCCCCCTGCGATGAATCTGCGAGCTGTGGTCGCTGCGTCAGGAGCCGTGCCAGGCGCCAGCCCGCAGCGGCGAGGGGCTTCTCTGGCGCACCTGGCCCTGGGGCGCCGAGGCCACGCCACGCAGCGGGGAGGAGGCCCGCGGCTGGCGGTGCACGATCACCTCACGGAGGCCAGAAAGCACACGAGCGCACCAGAAGGTTGGAAGCACACGCGCCTGGGTGCACACGCGCCTGGGTGCACACGCGCGCGGGAGTGAATGCTCAACCTTGGCAGCGTGCGGAGGGGCGAACGCGAAACGCACGAAATTGTTAGGCCCCTTCGCGGCCCAGCGCCTTGTCGAAATCGATCGGCCGATGTTACTGCCAACGCCATGCAGGCCATGCTGAGGCCACGCGCTGGACACACACGTGACGAGGGCCAGCTCTGGAGAGACATACGGCCGCATGCGTTTCCAGCTCCCGCCCAGGCCAACCACGTCAAGCACCCTGGTAAACTTCGCACGTCCACGGAAGGTTCCTTCGTCGGCGTTGGGTGCCTCCCGGGCACCCGTGGGCTGCGCGCGAAGCACCGCCCCTGGCGGGCATCGCGCGCAGGGGAGGGTCTTATGTCCGCGGGCGTTCGACCATCTACTTGGTTTTCCTGCCCTCCGACACCTGCGGTGCAGGGGGCGCCCGCGCGCGGGGCGAGTAGCTCCGCACCATCGTCGGCTGCGGCGACGGCGCCATGCCCCCGGGCATGGTGGAAAGGCCGGCGGGTCGCGCGAACATCTCCGTGCGGCCCAGCGAGTTGCCCATGCGCAGCGCGTCGTTCTCCTCCCTCAGCTCCTGCAGGCACTTCTGGAACATCTCCTTGGACTCGAAGAGGCCCGGCGTTCGAGCGGAGGCACCGAGAGCCTGGGCCTCGACTGCGCCAGCCTGGAGCCGCTGCGCCTCCAGCTCCACGGGACTGCAGGGCCGCGACGCATCTATGCCCAGGACGCTCCGGTTCATGGCGCCCTCGTCTTCCTCCCGCCGGAGCATCGGCGCGGGCTGCGGGGACAGCGAATACGGCACTGGGTAGACGCTGTAGGGGCCTCCCACATAGGGCTTGAGCAGATGGTGTCGGAGGATCGCGCCGCAGCGGCGACGTCGGCGAGAAGAAATTCGAGCTCATCGAGCCGCATCGCGGTCCTCCGACCCCGTCTGCTCGGACACCATTTGGGAGGCCTTGACGCTGGCCCTGGGAACTGGCAGTGCCACGACGTGCTGCGCCAGCGGCGATGCCACCGCCGTCACGGCGACGGGCTGCGGCTGGGCGGCGGGCGCACCGCCGGGGTAGGCGGCGGCCGCAGCTGCTGGCATGGGCCGCGCGTAGCAGGCAGGCAGTGGACTGGGGCCTGGCGGCACGATGGCCGTCACCTGGTGGCCGCCCAGCAGGGGCGTTGCCTGCACGCCAACTGGGCTCAGGTGCTGGATCGGGGAGTCGCCGCGCAGCGCCAGGCCGCCCGGCGTCTGCACAAAGAGGGAGCCGCCAGCCTCGCCGTGCCCCGTCGCGCAGGGCGTCGCCCCGGAGGGGGACGTCACGGCGGGCACCGCAAGTACACTCGCGCCCTCCCCTGTGGGGGTCCCAAGGGTCTCGCTAACCTTCTCCACGAGCAGCTCCAGGCTCTGCTTGAGATCCTCTGGAATCAGGGAGTCCTCTCCTGCCACGCGTGCGGACCTCGCCTCGTCGGCACCGCCAGCTCCACGCTGCCGCTGCGGCTGGGGGCTCATGGTGATGTCCAGGTCGTGGAGCCCTCGGGCCACAAGATTGCGGAGCTCTTCCTCCACCACCTCCAGTCGCCGTGCGAAGTCGGCCCGGAGCTCCACGTTGTGCGCCATGGCGTCCCCCCGCAAGCAGCCAGCCATTCGCTCGGTGTGAGAGCGAACCTCGTCGGCGATCAAAGCGCACAACTCGTCCCGTGAGACCGAGCTGCCAACGCGGTCCGCCTGTGCCAGCGCGTGGTCCCCTGAGAGGAAGGCCAGCTGGGTGGCTAGCGGGTCTTGCAGCGTGGCGTCCACGTCACCTGGCTGGACGCCGCTTGGCCGCATCCTCTCTGCAGGCATCTCCAGCGCCGCCACGCGAGCGCCCAGCTCGACGAGACCTGCGCGCAACTGCGCGACTTCCAAGGGCAGGCCCCACAGGCCCCCAGAGGCGCTGGGCTCCGCCCCGCTGTCCGCCGGCGGCTGCGACTGCTCTGGCGGCAGCACGCGCCGCAGCTGGGCCGCGGCCGCGTCCGGCCCCCGCCGCAGCAGCTCCGCCTCTGCCTGTTGCGGCTCTGCAGTTCGGCGGTGCGCCTCCAGGTCGCGCCGCAGGCGCGACAGGCCGTCGAGCATGTCGTCGCGGGCGGCCGCCGCCTCGCTGCGGAACGCCGCGATCGTGGCCCCCTCCGCGCTCGGCGGCTGCGCTTCTGGGGTGCCGCCGCCGTGGCCTCGGCTCGGCGTCGAGCGCTCGCCGCGGAAGTGCTCCCGCAGGCCGACCATGGCCTTCGAGATGTCGCTCTCGATCGCCTGCTCCATCTTTGCCACCTCCGGCCGGGCGCGCTCGGACTCGCCGCGCGCGCCGCCGCCCTCCTCCGAGCCCCAGCTCGCGTCGGCCATCGCGGCGGATGTGCGTGCGCGCGCGCCGCGGCGGGCGCGTTCGCCCGAGGCCTGCTCTGGGGCCTGGAGCCAAAGCGACTACGGAGGATGAGGACGGGAAGGTCTAGAGGTCGGCACGCCCGAAACGGGGCAGCTAGGTGCAGTTTCGGTTTCGGGGACGCTAGAACAGCCGCGTCTGACGCAGGCGCGATTCACGAACGCAGTGAGGCCTGGGCACTCGCGCATCATAGTGCGGGCTGATTAAACAGCAGCACCCTGTAGCAAAGAAGCGCTCGTACAAGTAGCTCTGATTAAACAACAATAGCCCTACCTTTGCAGATCGGGTGCGCAATGGCGCAATCACAGAGCGAACTACCGCCAAGTCTGCACATGGACCTGCGCGCAATAGCAAAAAATTGATGGAATCTCTAGAGGAATGAGCGAGCCACCGTCCCTCATGGCACGATCACGACCTTCGCCATCATGCCCTGGTCCTCGTGCTCCAGCCTGTGGCAATGCAACACGAGCGTGCCAGTGAAGGTGTCCGTGTAGAAGCGGATCACGCCGTCGGCAGGAACGGTGTCGAACCAGTCGCCCACCGTCCACAAATCGTCGCTGCCGTGCGAGATTAATTGGAAATGGTTCGTGTGGATGTGAAACGGGTGAGCAGCGCCCCGAAGAGTCCACTCCTGTACCTGGTTCACCTTCATCTCCACCATCACTTCCCCAGTGTACACCTCGCCGTTCACGGCCTCGCCCTCCAGACCTGGCAATTCATGCATGGCAAAAACCGTCCATATCGCGGCCGATACGAGAAAGAAGACCCCGACAATGACAACGCCCACCACACGGAAACTTTTGCAAAACGGGCGTCCTGCTGGAGCCTCGTCTGCAGAACCAGGCGCCACCGCCGGCGGCACCTCGCGTGCCGGGGACGCTGGGCGACACCGGGCTTTGCACGCGCACGCCACTAGCCCGCAGCACGCGCATGAGCAAAGACCAGCAACAACAGACGCCGCGATGAATTCAACGGAGAAGGAGATCTCAGGATCGCCAAACTCCACCGCAAATGTCTGATCTGGCGTGGCGCCGCGCAGATCCGACAGGTAGTTCGGCTTCGCTGCCGCCCAGAGATCCCTGTCGCCCATCGGAGCTGTGTCTGCCGCGGCGCCACCGTCCGTGACACGGATCTCCGCGATGAGGCCTGCGAACCACACCCCTCCACCTCCACCTCCACCGCCACCGCCTCCGCCTCCGCCGGCGGCGCCTTCCACACCAGTCAGCTCAAAAGAGCCAGAACCGTCACAGCGAAGTGCGATGTCCCGCCGGCTCCCTGCGGCGAACGCCAAGAAGGATATCGACCTGGGCTTTTCGAGGGCGACGCCGTCCGTGGCGAGCAACCACATCTCACACGCACTACCACTGGATCCTGCATTGACTAACTCCAACAACAAATTCGCATCATGGCTCGCGTGCACGAGCCGCAACCTGAGCCACTCGTTTGCCGTGAGGTCGATCGTGGGCAAGTAGGCCCCGTTGCAGAGATAGAATTCGTTGGCGGCTACAGGCCGAACCATGTTCAATGCTACCGGGGAGGATATTTCCGAGTGAACGTCTTCTAAGTCTCCAATGTTCATGTAGTGCATCACGACTATCTGCTCCTGCATGTCCTGCAACCACGTCGGCACGGTGCTATCGTCCTCGATCACGATGGCCCCCAATAGCCCATTGAGCACGTGCAGCATCGTGGAGCCATGGTGGTGCGCATGGTACCAATGCAATCCAGGCGCGTGGTCGACTGGAATGTCTATGATGTGCTGCTGAGACGCACCGGGATGGATCTCCAAATATATGTTGTCTGACAGACCGCTCGGCGACACATGCAAGCCGTGAGTGTGAAAGCTGAGCGTCAAAGGCTGCCTGAACTCATTCATGCCAGGATCTGGGTTGTCCATACCAGTTAACTGGTTCACGATGAGCAACTCCAACGAGTCACCTGGGCTCAGACGCAATGCAGGTCCAGGGAACATGCCATTGAAGAGCTTGGAATCGTACGATACGGCGTCGGTCACTACGCGACCGACACTTATCTCCAGTGTCGCTGTTATCGTGCCGTTGACAGAACTGAGCTCCGTGAGCGACGGCAGAGTCGCAGAACTCGCCAACAACGCATGGTACAGAACGCTTGCGATGGCTATCATGAGGAGCTCTCCGCGTCGTGGGGGGAATTAGTGCCAACCAAGAACAACCATCCCACGCTTGAGCCGAGACAACAGCTTGAGCCAAAATGGCTATGGACGATGAGATGCAATAATCTTGGTAGCTCCAGAAACCTGCGAGTATGTCGGCGTTGAACTCGCCTGGGTGGTTCAGCCTTCACTTCCGCCAGCCTCCGCAGGCAGGCCGCCGACATGTTACTGCCCGCGGGCCCTCGCCAGCCCGAGGGCGGGCAAGGGCAGGTCGAGGTCCGAGCGTGACCTCCCACAAGGCTCCTCCTCCTCCTCCTCCTCCTCCTCCTCCTCCTCCTCCTCCTCCTCCTCCTCCTCCTCCTCCTCCTCCTCCTCCTCCTCCTCCTCCCTCCTCCTCCTCCTCCTCCCCCCCTCCTCCCTCCTCCCTCCTCCCCTCCTCCCTCCTCCCTCCTCCCTCCACCTCCTCCTCCTCCTCCTCCTCCTCCTCCATTTCCTCCATTTCCTCCATTTCCTCCTCCTCCTCCTCCTCTCCTCCTCCTCCTCCTCCTCCTCCTCCTCCTCCTCCTCCTCCTCCTCCTCCTCCTCCTCCCCCCCCTCCTTCCTCCCCCTGTCCGCCCAGGGCGAGAGGGCCTCCCCCCTCGATGCCTCGAGGGCGGAGCGCCCGCCGGAGCGCCGCAAGAGTGGGGGGGGCACGGCCGACGGGGACGATTGTCCCACAGACAGACGCCCCGCCCGGGCACGGCGCGAACGACACGCGCCGTCCCAAAGCCGCTCAGCCTTCTTTTTTTGGGGGGGGGTTTGGTGGGCCTCTTTTTTCCCCCATCAGAGCTTGCCTCTGTAGGGGTCCCAGCGGATTCATACGGTTAGGCGAGGTGCGGCGCCGATTTGGTGGCCGGCGGCCGGGTGCCCGGGTTCCCGGGTGCCCGTGGGTGCCTGGTGTCCCAGGATTTCGGTGGCCACTGGGGTGCCCGCGGGGGGGGAGAGGGGAGGAGGGAGAACAGACACGACGACACGGCGAACAACGCGGCGACGCGGCCGTGAAGCCACTCAGCTGCCTCAAATGGCGTGCGTGCGAGCATAATGGAAGCGCGTCCCGTCACTCATACGGGCTGCCCTGCGGGAGATGGCGAATACGAATGGCCACTCTCGCACTCACAATCCGTGCCCAACGATCGTGGACGCACCGTGAACTACAAAACCTGCAGTGGCCCCGGACTCGGGTAGGGTGACACAGGAGGCAGAGGAGGAGCATCGAGGAGGAGGAGGAGGAGGAGGAGGAGGAGGAGGACGAGGAGGGGGAGGAAGAGGAGGAGGAGCAGGAGAAGGAGGAGAAGGGTATGACGAAGAGGAAACACCAATAATCACAATGAAGCCGAGATAGCAAATACCTCATCGAGTGAAATAGCGTGCCGAAGAACTCAACGAACTCGAAAATGCTTCAAATGGTTCAACCTCCGCCACAAATCCGCTCAACATCTGTCCCCAGATCCCGCTTAAGGTCCATCACTGACTAGCTTTCAGAGCCACGTCCAGCCGTGGCAACGAGAATCTCCAGAGACACCCCCTCCCTGGAACGCCGCCGCCGCCATCGTCGTCGTCGTCGTCGTCGTCGTCGTCGTCGTCGTCGTCGTCGCTGTCCTTGTCGTCGTCGTCGTCGTCGCCAGACCCGCAGCGCTCGCCGCGAGACTGGCAGAGACGCGGCGCTCGAGCGGAGGGCGAGGCCCTCACCCCACGGGTGCCCCCAGCAGCAGAACCCCATGGGGTGCCGCACTCGGAGGTGGCGGAGGCGGCGGAGGCTCGAGACCACCGCGGTCCGCTTTCCAGGTCGGGGCCCCCCACCTGCAGGGCCCCCTGGTCGCTCCCCACCGAGGGCCAACTGCGGTCAGGAACTGTCGGATGGCGTGCCGCGGCGGCGGTCTCGGCGACACGCTATGCCCTTGCGAGCGGAGGGAGCGTCGCTCCGCTCCGCTGGGCGGGAGGCTGGGCAAAGCTCGACGCGCGGATGCCCTGATCTGCGACATGGGCAGCGCGCGCGCGCCGAGGCGTGGTGGGTCAGCACCGGTGGAGCGACACGAGGCCAAAGTCCCGGACCCCACCACCAGCACCCAGTTAGGAGGAGGAGGAGGAGGAAGAGGAGGAGGAGGAGGAGGAGGAGGAGGAGGAAAAGGAAAAGGAGGAGGAGGAGGAGGAGGAAAGGAGGAGGAGGAGGAGGAGGAGGAGGAAAAGGAGAGGAGGAGAGGAGGAGGAGGAGGAGGAGGAGGAGGATCCAGAGCCCCGACCTCGTGGCTGCTTTCGCAGCGTGGGCCCCCCGGCCCCGTCCAGGCGTCGTCGGGTTTCTCCTCCCGAGCCGCTTCTCGATGGCCCTGGGGCCCGGTGGGGGCCCCCCGGAGCCCGGAACAGGCCAGAGAACTCTCCGTCTCGAGGCCCCAGGGCCCCTGCCCTCTGAGGGGCAGCGATAGGGGGGGGGGGGGGCTGGCAAAGGGGGAAACATCGACCTAGAATCGGCGATGCATCGCCGACAGATCGGCGATGGGGCCCCGATGGCACATCCGCGCGCTCCTGGGCCGGGTGGGGCCATCGGGCCCCCTCTCGGCGATGAGAGGGCGATCGGGGGTCGATGCGCTCCCCCTCGAGCCCATCCCCCCCTATCGTTGCCCCTGACGCGAGCGCCCCCGCGAGCAGCTGCGTGTAGGAGGGCGAAGATTGGGAGTCCCGAAAAGGTGCGGTGACAGACCGTGCCGTGACCTCGGAATCCCCCAAGACCTCACCGCACGGTCCGTCACCGCACGGTCTTGGGACCCTGGATGCCCCACTCGCCCGAGCCGTCCTCGGAGAGGGACTCGAGTCCCAAAACCGTGCGGTGACCCCGAATCCCCACCGACTCACCGCGCGGTGTGGTCACCACCCCGTTTGGGGGCCCCCGAGAGGACGGGGGACGACGACATGACCCGGAGGGGGCCCCCGCGAGCAGCTGCGGCGCCAAGGCCGCCGCAGGCGCCGCTGGCGCGGGCGCGGGCGCCGCGGCCCGCGGCGGCGGCGGGCCTGCTCTCTGGAGGCGCTCTCGTCCTCCCGCTCCGCACTCGTCCTCGCGAAGGTCGAGGATTGCCTCCGCCTCCTCCTCCTCCTCCTCCTCCTCCTCGTCCTCCTCCTCCTTCTCCTCCTCCTCCTCCCTCCCCCTCCTCCTCCTCCTCCCCCTCCTCCTCCTCCTCCTCCCTCCTCCTCCTCCTCCTCCTCCTCCTCCTCCTCCTCCTCCTCCTGAGAAATGAAAGCAGCAGGGTGCCTTTGCCCTACCTGCTGTTTAAAACAGCGCGCAGCGCTGTTCAAACCTTGGGCCGCAGAAGACCCGGGCGCGAAGCGGGAACAGGGCCGGTGGACCACAGGACTGAAGCGGAGCTAATTAGGACGGCTGTCAGCACCCAGGGGGCCACCACCACCACCAGGAGGGGGAGGGAGGTCGTCAGCGTCGTCGTCGTCCGTCCCGCCGCCCGCCAGGCCGCCGCCCGCTGGGGGGAAAAGGGAGGGAAGGGGGGAGGACCCAGGTGAGCCCCAGGCGGGGAGACCACGTCCCCGAAGGCCCACCCGCCGAGGCCAGCGAGCGCCTGCATGATGGCGACGCCGAGGCGGCACGCCATCACCTGCAGCTGAGCCCGACGCTGGATCGAGCCCCCGGCAGCCTTAGTCCCGTTTTCGCCGTGACGCGGGGCTGGGCCCCCCACCAGGCCGGCGCGACCCGCAGATTCTCCCCGAGTTCGAGCCGACTTCCAGCAAAACGCGGGCACTCGGGCCAGAAGTGCCGAGCCGACGCCAGGGTGTGCCCGCAACCGAACGGGCAAACGCACGCGCTGGCGTGCCTGCACGTCGGCGTGCACACGGCCCCGCCCCTCCAAACGGCGAGGAGGTTCGTCTCGTATCGGCCCGGCGATCGCCGGAACTGGGCCCCTCCTCCTCCTCCTCCTCCTCCTCCTCCTCCTCCTCCTCCTCCTTTTCCTCCTCCTCTTCCTCCTCCTCACCCTCCTCCTCCTCCTCCTCCTCCCCCTCCCCATCCTCTTCCTCCTCCTCCTCCTCCTCCTCCTCCTCCTCCTCCTCCTCCTCCTCCTCCTCCTCCTCCTCCTCCTCCTCCTCCTCCTCCTCCCCCTCCCTCCTCCCTCCTCCTCCTCCTCCTCCTCCTCCTCCTCCTCTCCTCCTCCTCCTCCTCCTCCTCCTCCTCCTCCTCCTCCTCATTGAGCCTCGCAGGTTTCGCACGGCTTTCGCACTTTTTGGGGACCTCCTGGAGCGCCCTCGTCGCCGCGGCTGGAATTCCCCATCGAAGTCATGTTTGGGACGCACCCCAGGAAAGGCCCAGGGGTGGATTGCTGACCCCAGGATCTCCCTCCCCGCACCTCTGCCATTCGTGAACAAGGAGGGCCTGCGATGAACAAATTCGCTGGCCCAGCGGGCCAGAGGCGCACTACACTCTCGGGTGACAGCGGACTTGCACGCCTGGTTCGCGCGCGCGCGTGGCGGCCACTGCAGGTTCCCGGACAAAAGGCACCCTGGCCAAACCACCGGCCACGGTCACGGATGCCAGAACTCCGTGGGGCGGCCTTCGGGGCCCTCGAGATTGCCCCAGGAGCGCCCCAAGGAACCTCAAAGGAGCTCCGAAAGAGAGAGAGAGAGAGAGAGAACAGCCCTTTCTGCTCCTCCGGAAAAGGAGGGGGGCCAAGGGACTGGGAAAAGGGACGGGGGGAAGGAGAGAGGACGGAGGAAGCAGGGAGGGCGGCCGGAGAACAGTGTTGCTCCACCGCTGAGGCGACAAGTTTTCTTTTCCAGAAACTTCAGTGGCTGTGTGACCCACCCTCAACGTCGATACGAATAGCGCGCGGACATGCTCTCGAAGCTGTGCGGGAAAGCTGGCATAGTACACCGCGGCCATTCGATCCACATGGACTGATGCAGATCAGCTGCCCTGTCGCTCCTCGACCGTCGTCCTCCTATTCTCGATGTGCCTCTGCGCGGGGGGCGGGGGGCGGGGG